CACTTTTATAGGTAGTCAGCAGGTTAGCTGATTCTTTAGCTGGCTTGCATTTCACTTTCTTGTGGATCTCAGATGTTCCCAATTTTCAGGCAATTTTCACTAAAAGTTTTCTCATCAATTCTCACCAATTAGGAAAACGACCCTGACTTACAAACCACAGGATTAGTTTTTCCTAAGTACACCAACTAAACGTTGCACCGCGCATTCGGTTACCTTTTCAAACTAAACGGTAGGGCTCATTATTCCGGTTACTCACTAAGCGTGTGTGTGTGAGAGTGTGTGTGTGTGTGTGTGTGCGTGTGTAATTCCTTCGTCGGACTTGGATTCCCAGGCTGAGTACATTCACGTTCAGGGCTCCAATGGTGCAAGAGTTGTAGTGTTCTATTAAATGTAAATACCGAAATTCCATTTTGTGTGGATATCATGGATATTGACAGTTGTGACTCCTCTTTGTTCATCAGTCATTCATCGCTTTGATTGCCCGTCTGTAACGAAGCTGCATTACGTCTAGGGAAGACTAATATATCAAGTTCTACCGATCAGTGTTTCTTCCAAAGATTGGTTACGCTTATAAATATACGCTCGGTTAAACAAGGAGAGCCACATTGTAAACTCCGAACTGCGCAAATATTGTGGTGTACATTGATGATCCTGTGAGTTGTTTTAGCTTAGATTCATGACAAAATACGTACGCGAACTGTACAATGGCCGGCCGACGAAATCAGAGCTATGGTAGGGTGTTTTTAAATGGGTATCTGCTTAGTATACCTGAGTGTAAGAGAATCATGACACCACCGGACCATTGTTTTTAGCCACAATTATTTCAGATGATCAAGGAAGACTAGATAGTGTGCATGTGTCTATATGAAACTGAGAAGCTAGATTGTGATGGTAGGATTTGAGCAGATGATTTTTCAACCAAGTGAAAACGAAGGAGCCGGTTGATGCTAACCGAGGTAAACTTCATTTGATAAGTTTGAACAACAATCACACCGACCCGGTGGTCATAGGTTAAAAGTTCATCGCAGTTGCTTGGCCGCCTCAAACCGTAAGCTCCCGTGGAACCTTGATTCGACGCAACCTCTTCCCGAATAATTTACTTTACAAACTTGTAACGGAGAACTGATGTTCTCAGTTGGGTTTTTAGCAAAACAAAGTAGAAATTATATATTCTGCTATTTATTTTTGATTTTATTTCACAAAAAGCTATTGAATGTCCCTTCCAATCAAACTGGATCACGTGAGATGAACTGATTAAAAGGATACAACAACAACAACGTCATATCAAAACTTATTTCTAAGATTGCGAACAACGAAATTCAAATTATTGTTAAGCAGAGGTTCTTCCTCTCTTTTTGTCAATTTTCTCCCCACTCCGATGCCAGATTATTTTTTTCAGCAGTATTCTCAAATGTATTGTGAATACTTTTTCTCCTAAAATGCTATTTTGCAATTATTAAGGAATATTTTAAGTTTTTTTATCCGAAGACAGATTGATCATTCTCCCTCTGCATTACCTCTATCTCTTCCCCGTTCGCACAGATGGTATTTTGCCTCAACCGATGGTAGTCTGATGCAACCGGTCGGAATGAGTTCCGCTGTGATGAGCGGAATGGAAAATGACTCAGTCCGATTTCAGGCGATCCCACTTGAAGGTGGACGCTGGTTGGAGATTCAATTGGGCCTACTGGAGAATGAGAGTGTTGAACCTGTGTGGGAAAAGCATCGACGGAAACGTACGGTGCACACTGGTAAGTATGCTTTCTTTGTGCGTCATATTCATCAAAATGTTATATACGTTTTTCCAAAGTTCTCGACCGTTTTGTTACAGCTAAATATTGATGGATAACTTCTTGTCTATAGCTTTCTTGACCCGTATCACATACGAATATGAAGCTTCCTTCCTTCTCGGTTCCCGTATTGCACGGTTTCACGCTTTCTGCTACCTGTTTTTTCCTCGATATCATTCTGTCCGAGAGTCTAAACTTAGATTCAATTTCTTGACACACGCTTAGACAATTTCCAGGCAGTTCTTAAGTTTTTCACTCAATTTTTCCTACTCACACGTGCTGTATTTTGTGTCCTCATTTAAGCTTAGATCCTGATATTTTTCCTCGGTACCCCTGGAAATATTGCAATTTTTAGAGAATCAAGGAAATGCTTTTGATTCTATTTCCTTCCTAATTTCATATAGCCTGCAGTTTTATCAGAGAGAATAGTTTGTCTGTTAGTCATACATTTACCAGCTTATTCATAATTCACAATGCAAATTAAAAATATGTTATTCTCTTTATTAATGCGAAATTAAAAAGTCCCTTTTGAATTCACGAAGTTTAAACACATTCCACTATCTCCATACACGCAAGGAGGTTTCCTCGTGTTCTCACTTCGATCGTGTCCCAAACACAGTTATCCCAATTATTTCCCAAGCATCTCTTAAATTTACTGGAACAATGAGTCGCATTAGGCTCTCACAAATCGTTTCTCTGCCTCTTTACAAGCCAAATTATCTCGAGGCCAGCTCAGGTGGATTTTCAATGAACAAAACTTTGTGGTGATCAGTAAAGTGTGCTTTATGTCCCTCATTTGATAAAAACATTTTTTAATTTTTTAATTTGTTTTTCCGACATGACACATGTAACAGCTGAGATTAAGTTGAAGATAGATTGTAAAATTCGACATGGTCCACTGAAAATGACTTCGGAGTGCTATGACGGACATTTTTGTACCACATTTTACTATCACTATCTGATAGGGCTCAAACATCGACAAACAATTTTAGTTCAAATAATCCTTTTTAGATGCAGTGAAATTCTATAGAAGCTACCAAGGGTAGTTCCCTTCGTACTCTCTCTTAATCACATGCACATAAGAACGAGAAAGGAGTTGGCGAATCAAAGGAATCAAAAACATGTTCTGTCGCCTTACATCACGCAATGTCAATCTGTCAAGAAGGCGTTATGGATAGTCCAAACTAAGCCCACTTTGTTTCCAAAGGCTCGTGACCTTGGCCCTTTCTCTATCGCAGTAGTAACTAATCTCACGCCACCAAACATATACACAGTCCCCGTTTAATAACATTAATCCAAATTTATCATTTCATTTCGTATTGGTCCGTTTTGGATTTCCCCTCCTATTTAGTCTCAAGCGTATCACTCTTGTACTTCATCTTTGAATGCTTTCTACACACACACATATATATATATATCTTTAACACCGGCTTGTAGACAAGCATGGTGCCAACGCCAAAACAATAATAACAATGATCATGGTGTTTCTGCGCTAAAGACAATACCGGTGAAAACGTTTTTTCCCGCTTAGAGAACGAAAACGAAATTTTTCACCGTTAATGATAAGTGTGTGTGTGTGTGTTTGACTTTGAGAAACACACGCGAACGTTGTAAACGCTTATCCGGAATTATTTGAACCGACTCAAATTTTTGTTCTTGCACGCGCTTTCCGTGCGATGTTGATGGCGATAAGCATGATGGTTAGGCACCGATTTAATGGTAGAATTGTGTATACGGAAGATTGACAGAGTAACGAAGTCAATCATATCGCGGTTACAGATATGGAGGTCTGATAGGTTCAGAACTGTTCCCTTTATGAGTGACTCGAGTGAAAAATCATCGGTTCGCAGAATGTGCGTGATCTCATCGAGAACAACACTCCTAAATGGGAATAGGTTGAAAGCATTTTGAAGGGGACGGTTTTTGGGATTGCGATAGATGTGAGCTGCACAAAGGAGTAGCGTGCGGTTCATTCGTTTCGGATACGTTTCCGGTAAGCTATGCACATCTACTTCATGCAAATTTTTCTCAGAATTTGTGAGCACTGTACCATGAAGTGGAATGCCAAAACGTTTTCAGAATCCCAATTTTGTCTTCTGTCCAGTTGTCTTAGACGGTTATCCCCACGTCAAAAATATCGTTGTTGATGATGGTGATTGATGGGTATATAGACTGAATCTTCTATACTATCCAGTACCCTTGTATTGCGCACTGGATATTAATCAATAAGTAGAGATTTAAGAGATAGTATATCCTTTTAGGTCTCCACCAAAAAATTTGAATGATTTAACCATTCAAGACAATTTCATTGTCATATTAACCGTCCTTCTTTGGCACCGTTGATGATGTAATCACTACCTTTTTTAACATATTTACATTCATCTGGGATGGCCAAGATAAAAGCTTTGCCGGATATTCCGCCGGCAAACAAATAAAATGATTCAACATCAGTGTTTAGAAGCTGTTCCCTGTGCTATTGCTCTAACACTACAAAATTTCAACGTAAAATTCATGGTTATTCACCTGGATCGATGTGAGATGTCGCCCTTCCCCTCTGCGACACACTCAGTAGTTATAATGAGTAAACATGACTATTAGTGTAACGATCTTCTGTTAGCCACCTCAACTGCTACTGAACTCACAAACAATCCCATCTGATTGTTGCTCAATTAGATGGGTTTACAAGTTTCCAGTCCCAAGGACTGTGTTTACAGTGTTCAAATTGATATTTGACATGTTTGGTTGCAAAATCCCTTTATGTTTCATGAAAAAGAGCTATACAAATCATTATGATCATGAACAGTAAATTGATAAAAGAATTGAGTTGGAAAAATGATCGCAGTACGGGAACTTGGGCTGAAGTAAAGAACGCAAACATAAAATGTATGAAGACAAGTCTAATTTGCACATGGCGATGCATCTACGCGTCGAAAGTTGATCCTGAATCCAGACGGTCATTGCTTAGCACTCTGATTGGTGAGTGCTACTGTTTGGTTAGATTCGTAAATGGACGCTCGTCCATGCGTGGTTGGATATCTGGAGAGCAAAAGTTCATATTTGAACTGTGCATTATTCTGCATGTGTTTACGTTAGTCAATCTGAGAAACTGATTGAGGGTAAAGCCTGGCGTTTGCGGCAACGTTTACACCATGACGGCAGTTCAACTGATATAAGATGATATATTCTATAGAATCTTGTTATTGTTTCTCATTTCGATTTATCGATAAGGTTTCGTTGGTCAGAGTGACAAATTGAATTACCAAACACTTTCATCCCCATCGAGGTCACATAATTAGATAATTTAAAGTGACAAAAGCTCTGCATCTCACCCAACCACATGAGTCATTCGTTTCCCGGGTCAATTGTGTGATTGACGGCAGAGTGAAGCGGGTGCCTTTCCCGAAGTTAGTGGATAGGAGTGTTGGGAACATAATGTTTGTTTTCTTCAATTATTGATACGATTGGTGGGACATGACCAAGTTAAGGTTTCTAAGCACAAAATGGGGCTGTAAAGCAACTAACAAGAGCAGATTAATTTTCAAATATTTGTTATGCTTTGATAAGAACTTTAGGGCAGAAAGGTTAATCGCAAAGGTTAACAACAAATAGTTTATAGCGTTTCTTTTTGAGTTTTTGTTGGGCTTCTCAGGCATCACCTGTCAAGAAATGGATCGTTTGAATGAATCTGTCCATTTTGTCACGCGTTATCACAGTCTTTTTACAAGTTCCAGGAACAGGTACACTCGAAAGCACTGGGACATTCCCGGTCAAGTTTCTACCGAAAACTCTCACTACAAATACCAGCAGAGTTTAGAGTGTTTCTCAGTTCCGCATGTCGCTCAGAGTTAGTTGTGACCCATCCGTGTACTGTTAAACTGAAATGATGAAAGCAGTCTGAAAATGTTCATCTCATGGTGACAATCACATCCTGAAAATAGTGAGTAAGGAATTTCTCTGAAGAGTCAGTTACTTTATCTACCCACTTTCGAGCGTTCTGTTAGCACAAAGGGTCTCAATATATTTATCAGTGCTTTACGAAATTGCAATATATAAAATTGAATAATAATTTCGTCGGTTTATTATTCTTTTCATTTCTTCTTTTTTGATGATGTCGTCCTAGCCATCCTTTAAATAAACATTTACGAAACTGAAAGCTTCTTATTCCATCAGAAGCCGTTAGTTGCTTTTGTTCGAATCTTGCTATCTCTACCTATTTATTCCAATTCTATATGGTCCTAGATAGCCTCTGATGGTCTACAGGGCCCATTTTGAAAAAGGATTGCTTCATTGAATTTTTGATAAATGGAAAGAAGTAAAACCTTGGCTACAAATGTCATTAACCGAGATGCATAGGAGTAATTTCTGGTTCAATCTGTGCTTTCCAACAGTGCGCCTTTAGGGATATTCATGCAATTTAATTTTATCACTGAATTTTTTTCTCTTATGAATCTGTTAGGAAACCAATACACCAACTCCATGTTGTCCACGGCCGGATTCGGGGAGTATTTCTGCAAAGTGGACATTCCACGCAATTGGGCCACCTCCAATTTCCCCGAAGGAAGTCAGCTAAATCTGACTGGGCCATACATTCCTGTTTATCTTGCACCCAATGCTCGCTTGTTTGCTCGACCAACTGAGACAGACGGTGAGTGTGGTATGAGATAACCATCTACGTTTGGAACACTCGTTTTGTGTCGACTACCGTTGCTTGTCTGCGGACTCACCTATCATGTTTCTGGAAGTCAGTTTTTGATTGATTGATTCATTCGCGCTGTGAATACGGCTAGAAAATCCAAAAAGAAATCTTCTAATTCATTTATTCAAATTCGTCTAATTGTGGAGAATCTATTTGTTAGAATGTGTAAGAGTGATATTGTAGGGCTTGATAGGCTTTCGAAATATCGTTTCTCTCAGAATCAAGTGGTCACTGTCTACCACAACTAGCTTTCAGGTTCCCCGTCAGAGAATATCCTAACACCTATGGTAGCTTTCTTAGTTTCTAATCAAAGTTCCCATTCATTGAATTCAAGTCTATCTACCTGGCATCTTATCGTTCGTCTACGTTATTCATTATGATATATTGACGTATTGAAGGGGTCTCAAAATATAGCGCACATACTTCACTCTAGTTAAGGGTTGTCAGCAGTGTACATTCCTCTAGTTAATGCTGATTCTAAAACGGAAGAAAATGTATTCAATTTTTGCTGAATGAGGAAGCACTTATGGAATATCAAACAGTTCGGGTTTTCACAATTTCAAACATTTATGTCTTAGATACTCCAACATTAGTGGTGATTCTCAACATACAGTCTGAAACTACATACTTATCAAGTCCTTCTAGTCAAGGATTTTTCATTTCAAGCGAAAAACGTTCTAATCAGTTGCCTGGTGACCAAGTTTGTAGCATGCTTGCGTTCTGCCTGTGTGGTCCCGCGTTTGGTCAGTGGATTTGCACTGATGAAGAAACCCAAACAGGTCGAAACAGCGGTACGGTGCTTCCTAGTTTTTCAGTTCACGCCTAATCTGCTCTATCGACGACGAATTCTGTTTATGATATAATGAATTACTTTAAATAGAAATATTTAAGCCTCTTCCAGCGAAGCCGTCATAATAAAATTTAAGGCTCATAGTTTTATTAGGGGCAATTTAACAAAGCTGACGCTTATAGTGCTCCATAGGATTCTTACAAAATGTTTTGAATAACTTTATAAATAGGAATAATAAAAAATTCAGGATTACTCACGGATGTGTAAATTTTAAGTTTTCCAATGCTTTAGCAAGCTGCTACTTGAATAATTGAACTGTAGGTGCACACACAACATGGGATAAAATAAAATTCTATAAACCGCACAATAACTGCAAATGTGTGGTGCCGGCATTCCAGGTGACTGTTCTGGGTCCTCAACTTCAATGAATGCCCCGCTCCTAGATGATTATTTTGAGAGAAAGTCAACACAGAACATCAAGGGTTGTTGGGTTGACGCAATTGACGTCATGTCGAGATTAGGTTCCCTCAAGGTCGGCAGTACCGAGACAAGTAAAGCCCCAATATTTGCAGTCTTTCGGAGTATTTCTCGTTAGACAGACCCTTACCATGTTGTCAATCTGTGCGGACGTTCTAGATCCTTCTTGTTGCTGTTCAACCAAGAATTCCACATTTGAACGGCATATCTTGTGTGACCGAATGAACGCTGATAGCAAGCGTGGGAACATAAGAGAAAGGAATCTTGTGATTCATGAAAATAACTTGATACATTTTGAAACGCTGAATTCAATGTCATTGGTGTTTGACCATCGACGGGCCGCATTGGTCGTTTCTGGGAGTGCCAAACAATCCTCCTGATGTGTTGCTGTTATTCAGATTTCGGCGTCGTCCGCAAATTGTAGTGTATTTAACCCAAGGACGTGGTAGGTCATTTATAAATGAAGGGGAAGACGAGGTCCCAGCACGCATCCTTGCAGAACTCCATAAACAACGCACCACAATCACGTATCATCTCTTAGCATGGTTTGCACAGAAGAACCGCAGATAACGCGAGACACACTGTGTTTGTAAACAAAATACCTAACTCCGTAAGAATGAATATAGCCATGCTCATCCAATTCCGTAGAGCTCATTTAACAGCAAACTATCTCCTAACGCGCATTTCGAGGACGTGGAAATCCAATCGTGTTTACTTACATAGTGTGATTTGTATGTTTGTAGCCAGCCAAGTGAGAACTGTTCAGTTTTGTGTCAATCCAGTTCTTTCTATTTTGTTACTCTTGTTCTTGTTGTTGTTTTCCGGTGCACCCTTCTGTGTGGCTTTCACACCGTGGATACACGTTTCTCGACTTTTGCTCAACACACCGAGCAACCCGAGGACAATTACCGCCTTTTCTGTCAGATTAGCGTTTCCTGATGCGGTATTTACTTGCGAGATTACCGGAAACAATTTGCGAATACTCGCGCATGAGATAGTTTTGGCATCGTCACCATTCTCTGCTCATCCATGGCTAACCGCATGCGACAAACTAATGAACCTAATTCGTTAACGCTCCCATCCTGTTCCACCGTGGAATTATGTGGCGAAGTGAATAGTAAATCAGTGTATGCGATACGAAACGTAATTTATTTGTGGAGTTTTAGGACAGAGTGTGTTGAGAGCAAACTATCAAAGTTTCCCATAAAGATTGGTGTGTCTTTCTGTTGAAAAGCAGTCAAACTTATGCATGACCGACCTGATGGAGAAAATTCTCTGTAGGCTCATCACCGGCTTTGTGATTGTTACGGCTGATCAGCAGTGCATATCCGTTATTCTTCTGCCAAACCGCCACTATCTTTGCACTCTCAATATTCGGAAATTGAGATATTATAAAACAGTACTTTGTAACGGTTCTGTTGGGTTGCGCCATTGAACCAATACTGTGAAACGTTAAGTCACCCTGGTCAATCACCCACAATTTGTGCGAGGAAACCTCTTCCTAGAAAAATCGTCTTTTTATATATGGATAATCTGTATTTGGTGTCCTTACCGAGCATTGCTCTCTTCTTTTGGCTTCTCCCGCTTAAGTTTTCATCAGGGGTTAACTGAATCGATCGCCAGGATGCAGCAAATGGCTCATGACAGTTTGAATCAAGGGCTTTTTTAACTGTAGCTAAAATTGTGTCCTGTGAATAATATGTACTTGCAGTGCGATATCACAGTCGAAGTCGAACGCGTACATATGTGCACATAGCATTTTTCTGTTCAGCATATAAACCAATTAGGCCTTTTATTCGAAGGCCTCAGTGCTGACTGGAAATCCATTAATATCCAGCACTTCGTGTAACTCCCATATGTGCAAGGTTGACCGATGCCAAAATTTCTTTTTTGCGTTTAACGGCCAATAGGCCTTTGTCACAGTGGTTCAAGATCCACTGAGTAAACTCATTTTTGAGTCATGGGTCATTTGACGCAGTCCATGTCAGACTCTCTCCCTCGCTTTCACACCCAGCCACACACACACATGGTTATCACTTTCATTTTTAGTCATTATCACCCGCAATCTAGACTAATATGTTGCAATTTTCAAAATTGATAACCTAAAAATTCACGAGTTTAAGTTTCCGAGAAGTAGGTTTTCTCTCATTAGTGTCAAATATTTGATATAATTTCTTGTGGATAAAGGTTCAGTATTCATATTTCCATTGTATAGGGAAAAGGAGGTTTAAGATACGTTTAGATAAGGATGACAATTTATAAATTTACAACAAATTCCTGATGAATGCATAAAAGTCAGCGAGATCGGAATTAACCATGGCACAGCGTGATATCCTCTGCGCGCAACAATCGTTTGCTTCATCACCTGTACGAGCCCTTTACTAAACTAATGCGGGAGTCCCAGACCTTGGACTGTCCCGGGATTGTTAGTTTAACGTCATTCCATTTAAACTGGATTGGTATCTTTCTCGTGGTTGATGTAATAATCCGATAATGAGGGAAGTATGTACCTCGAACAGTTGATCCTACTCCAAATCAGCAAAAAGCACGGTGAAACTATGCAAATTTATATTTTATGAATAATATGTAAATGATCGGATAAAAGATTTCCCTGGAAGCACACGACCACTTTCTGGAAGATCTCTGCTCATCGGTTATATCTATCTATTCGTTGCTACACCTGAACTACTAATTTACATTTTCTTCACAAATCTTTAAACATTGACAATCAGTCGCTCAAATACTACTTATTACAATATTTCATAAATGGCATTTAGCGGAATTTGGCACGGTTGCTAGCATCTACCACGCCGAAATTTGTTTTGAATTATCGCTTTAATTACAAATGGACTGCCTTGAACGATATTCCGCTATTTATTCTGTATATATGCGTATATACATATATGTGTATAATACTATAACATAGCCCAGTAAAGTATGGTGTACATATATATTTATATCAACATAAAAAGACCAGCAAGATTTGTGTTTCAAACAAATCAACACAGTTCCAGTTGCATTGCACAACTTATGCTTTCACTCGCACTTACTCTTGCCCCCTGGCATAAGTTTTTATTGATTTCGACTGGTCATCCCTCAGACTCTATTTTCTCGCACCAACATCAATTCATCGATTCATTCATACAGCACTGGCCAGTCAGACTCTTGCCTCGCTCGCGCTATGGTATACCAGCATTGCATGTCTACTGATTCATCTGGCATGGAATCCCAGATATCCTACCTACATCGTGGGTGAATGTGGTAGCACTAAGCCAAGGAACTCAATCGTGTGCTGATCAACATCACCCAATTCAGTTTATTCATGTGTCATGTTCACAGACAGTTTGTCAAGTTCGGGTCCGACTGCAAATTTCTGGAAACTTTTTGGTGCATTCGTTTTTATATTAGATCGAAATGCGTGATGGATGACTACAACAATGAAAACTTGTCATTACCTTGATGAGACTTAACAGCAAACCTTAATGCTTTTGTTGGACCACGAACCTTTGGTTTGGAAGTCGAAGATTTTGCTCATGAGCGGCACGATCTATGGTCACCACTCTTAGTTCAACAGCAAACCAATTGTGCTAAACATTGTCGTGTATATTTCCTTAGTAGACCACAGGCGCCAAAGTTTCGTGGGGGGATCGCATTTCCTGGAAGTTCACTCAATCCCTCGAGGTCTAAAAATTCCCGTGATAT